GGGTTGGGGGGAGCAGGGGTGTCTCCATCTGGGAGGGCCGGTTGTGAGGGACAGGAGGCCAAGGGCTTGGTTTGGGATCGAGGCAGGAGGCTCTGGGCTGCTGGGTTGAGGGGGGAGACAGAGGCTGTTCTGTGGGAGCCTCGTGGGCTCACCGTGTGTTGTCCTCCACTCAGCCCACAGGCCTGTCTCATTTGTTTAACCTGAGCAGGAGGCCGCTGATGGCTCCTGCCTCCACTGGTAGGCGGTCAGGTGTCCGCAGCCCTCGGGCCCCGGCAGACAGGAAAGGCCCGTGTCTGTGAGTGTGTCCCCAGGCGGGGTTGCTCAGTGGCAGCGTGCGGCTCCAAACGGGCACAGATGCTCGCAGCTACCGAGTGTGGGGCCTGCAGCAGCCCAGCTCCTCCGGAGTGGTGGCTGCGGGTCAGGCCCATGTCTCCCCTGTCCGCGCCTCCCCCAGCATAACATACATGCTTCACAGCAGTGTTGACAGAACCCTTGCCTCCATGTAAAGCCGGGACCACACAGCTCCCGCCTCCCAGCCCCAGCCTCAGAGGCAGGTCCAGGGGCTCCCTGTCCCCCATGGCATGGCTGCCCAGGAGTGGGTGCAGCAGGGACTTGACCTCAAGTGTGTTGGGGCTGGGCCTTTGCTCTCAGGCCCAACCCCTTCCCCTGCTGGGGTCTGCACCTGGGAGGCTGACCTCTGCCAGCCAGGGTCCTGGTCCACTGGGGCTGCAGCAGGAGATTGGGGAGAGGGGATAAGGCCAGAGGCCCCCTTCCCTCACTGTGCTGCTGGCAGCTTTCCCGGCAGTGGCCGCGTCACCTCCAGCCCCTGGTCCGGCTTTTTCCAGCGACCGCGGGCCGCGCCCTCCTGCCAGGGGAGAGGCCCCGTTGTGATTCCTGCCTGGACTGCTTCTTCCGCTCCATGGCACTCCCCCCACCCCCTTGTTAACAGGTCCTTGAATGGAATTTCCCGCTGTTTAAGGGCTTCAGTGGTGCCAGTTCAGAGCTAGCTGTGTGCCCCGGGGGCCGGGGGCCTGGGTGAGGGGGTGACTGGGTTCCGCACTCCGCCCCAGCTCACTCCTTCAATGACGTAGTTGGCCTGACCAGGACAAGTTAGGGGTCTTAAAGACATAGGGCCACGTCTCTGTGCAGGGGCTGGGAGTGTGGGGGACCCTCCCCACCAATGCAGGCCCGCGGCTGCCAATCTGTGCCCCTCAGCCAGCCAGGGAGCTCGTTTCTGCCTGTCCTCAGGCCCGTGGCCTTGATCTCATCCCTGGAGTATGCCATACGCCTACGGCCTGGGCTTCATGCAGCCGGAGGCTGGCAGCGTGTTCCCGCAGAGCTACACCTGGTGAGGCCCAGGAACTGTCACCGAAACCTGGAGGCCCAGGGAGCCTCGGGCTCCTGCTGTCCACAGTGGAGTGAGGGGGTATGGCTAAGCCGGGGTCAGAGAGCATGGCTGAGGGGATGCTGGCTCACGAGAGCCTGGAGACCGGACATTGGAAAAGAGCCAGGGTGAGCGGCGGAGGCAGAGAAAGCCACATGGGTCAGCAGCCACGAAGGGCTGCGTGTGTGTGGGCGCCACCCGTGGCGCCCCACTTGGCCTTCACTCTGCTCAGCCTTAGGTTCCCTTGGCAACTGGCCTCCCAGCCAGGCCAGCGATGAGGGACAGGCATTGGTACGATGCTGCGGTGCTCCCGGCCTCACCTGGGTCCCCTGTGTTCCCTGACCCAGTGGTACCGTCCTCCTTGCTGGCCCTGCTCTGCTCCCATCCCCTCACCTCCTTGACCTTCCTGTCCCACAGGGATGGATGCCATGCCTGTTCCCTGGGGTGCCTCATGGCTTTTGTTTCCAGGGACTCCCACACTCTTGTTACCTGCATCCCACGTCGAAGCCCATCCCCCAAGTCACTGGGAGGGTCCTGCTCTCCTGTATGGACCCTCTGACAGGGCCACCAGTTGGTGAGGCAGAGATGCAGGGCCGAGGGAAGGAATATGGGTCTCACCAGGACAGGGGCCATGGAGGGAGTGAGCTGGGGTGATGTCCTGCCCATGGAGACTGGACTGAAGGTGGCCCTGATACACTGGGGGAGGGCAGGGAGAAGCTGGGTGAGACAAAGGTGGGAGCTCTGGGAATCAAGAAGGAGAGGGTGTGTGGCCTAGGTTAGCAGAGGAACCAGCAGCACTTGGGGATGCATCGGCTCCAAGGAGTAAGGAGGGACCCAGAGGACCCTCATCGGAGGCCGAGTGAGACCGACCACCCGAATCCCGGTCCTCTATAGGCCGTCTGCCCCGCAGCCCTATTGGCTCCTGTCTCAGCCTTGTCCAAGCAGGAACTAGCCACCTTGTTCATTCACCCGTGCTTCCCGCCTGTGGCATGCGCTCCGAGCTTGGTATACAGTAGTGCTCAATGCGTGCTTATGGCAGATGGAAGCCCAGTGCTGCCCCACCTGGCTTTGGAGTCTCTCCTTCTGCAAGTGAGAATGGTGGTGCCCACCCACAGGGCAGCTGTAGGATTCACTGTCTGCGTGCACCAGGCACCCAGTAACAGCTGTGATGTTCTTCCTGTCTCAGCCATCCAGTCTTCCGCTTGCTCGACGGTGGGCCTGGGCAGCTATGGGTCCGCGGCTAGGGTGGGAAGCCCGTTATCAGAAGCTCCAGGCGGAGCAGGCTAGCGGATCAGAGGCTGGGTTTCCGTGCGTGGCTGGCAGGCTGCAGCGCTCCCATGGGGGAGCTTCTGCTGGGCACTGTGAGCCTGCTGTGTGGGGTCTCCCGCGCGTCTGGGAGCCACAGCGGCATCGACCAGCTGTCTCTGCCACAGGCACGCACATGTAGATTAGGTGTGGCTTCCCTGGAGGAGGGGAGAGTGCCCCCTGCCACCCACATTCAGGAGGCGGACACCTCTGGACTCCAGTGGTCCTGGAGCCGCAGGCATGACAGTCCATCAGAGCAAGCTCTCCATCTTGCTCCCTTGCTCAGGGAGAAAGGTCTAGGTGGTGACGGGGCAGTGTGGAGGTTCACGTGGAGTGCCCCGGCTCGGGCCAGACCTGAGAGGGGGTCCCAGAGGCCGAGGGCTGAAGGTGTCCCGTGAGCCAGGCATGGCTATCACCCTTCACGTGCTCCCATTTCCATTTCCATTTGGTGGGTGCCACCGAGGTGGACCCCAGTTTCTACAAAGAGCTGAGGGTCCGTGATGTCCATAAACCCTTCAATGTGATGCTTCCCTCTGTCTCTGGGGCCATTGTGATAGCCAGGAGACTTTTCAATTACCTGTGACAGCAAAGAGGGCATTCTCATTTAATGCTGGCGTTTTGTGTGCGGTTTTACTTCCAAAAACATCTCTGTAAGAGCACTTGTTCCAGAACCGTCTCTGGAGGTGAGGGGCGGCCTCTCCTCTCCTCTCCCTGAGAGCGCGACAAGTGCCAAGTGTTTCAGTTTTACCTGCAGGATTTCTCACAATTCCTTAGCGGGACAGAGAATGCGGCTCCCCTTACCCATGTCTAACACTGGAGACACCAGTCCAAGGAGCCCTCCTCACAACACATCGCAGGGGATGTCTCAGGCCACGTGGTGTGGGGAGGTGGCTTTAGGTGGCGTTCGCCTTCCTGGGCTACCTGATGAATCCCCATGCCTCCGGCTGGCCCCTCTGCAAAAGGGGACACTGAGGGTCCCGATCCGGGGGTGTGGCCGAGGATGTCACTGTGGAGCACAGTGACCCCCATGCATTCCTTCTGCTTAGGGAACTGGTGTGGGCAAACAGGAGGTGAAATGGGGGCTCGCCCCCTCCTGCATCTAGGGCTGCGGCCTGCAGGCTTTTCCTTCCCACCCCCATTCAGTCAAGGTTCCAAAGTGTCTCATAGCCCTGGGGAGTGAGTTGACCGGCTGAGCCACAGAGCTGGAAGAAGAAAAGCCCATCAAGTTGTCCATCCTCAGGTGCACCCGCTGGCTCCCAGATTGCTCCACACAATCTGCTCGCCATCCCCGGTCTGGGGAACTGGGGCCTCCTGGGCCCCCAGTCCTTCCGGACGTGTGTAAGCTTCCTGAGCTGCCTCCTTATGTGCCCGATTACATCCTGGTGAGCAGGACAGGGGGAGGCGTAGCTGAGGCAAAGGCCCAGAGTGTTGAGGCTGAGGCTGGAGGGATCTTGATGTCTCGTGTCCACACACGGGCTACAGGGAGGGGCTCTGGCTGGGTCTCTGATGCAGACCCAGCAGGAAGCCACAGCAGGAAGCAGTGACAGCTCTGCAGGGATGGGCGTGGGGAAGGTGGTGTTCTAGGCGTGAGGCTCAGGGAGCACAGAGCATGGTGGAGCCCAGGGTCAAGTGAGTGTGATCTGAGGCTCCTGCTCCTGGAGCCGAAGGGGCCACCATGTGCGGTTGTGCTGCCAGGAGAGCTGAGGCTTGCGTCACCGTCCCTCATGGCTTTGCATCCGACTCATTTACCACATTCCTTTCTGTGCCGGTGGACGTCAGGGATGATGGCTGACTGCACACGAACTCTAGGACGGCTCGGCCCGTGTGCCTGGCTCGCTCTAGGCACTTTAGCTGTGCACATCCATGGGATCCTCAGGGAGGAGTCGGTCCCCCTCCTGGGTCTTACTGAACTCCTATGGCTGCTGGGTCTGGGTCTTAACCCACCTGGGTGCTGCACGGTAGACTCCAGGCACGGCTGGTGCTGGGAGTGGGGACGGGTCAGGAGGGCGGCAGTTAGGAATTGGCAGGACAGAAGCCGGACGTGTGGCGGAATCTGAGTGATCGCCCTGGCCCTTCGGGTGGAGCCTTCCAGCGTCAGTCCAAGGGCTGAGACCAAGGGACTGGACCTGTCAGTGGTGGTCACAGGGCATCTGGGGGGAGGGGCAGGCCCCGGTGATCCCCACGACATGCACACTGGGACAGCGGCTGCCTGATAGTCAGCTGTGCGCCAGCCCTGGGACCCTCTCCACGGGTCACCTCAGCCTCCGGGACCTGGACCAGCGTGGACGTCTCTGCTCTGCTTCCCACACAGCTCACGCACGGACACCAGGTGGCGCTCTCGGCCATCACCTATATCGGCTGCTCCGTGTCCCTGGTCTGCCTGGTGCTCACGCTGGTCACCTTCGCCATGCTCTCGTGAGTCATCCTCCGCTCTCTCCTGCGTCCGGGGAGGTCTGGCACCCTTGGACAGATGCCAGTGCAAGCCTGCCCCACTTCCGCTGCCTGCTGGGCGTGTGTCCTCGGGAGGCAGCGAGTGCCTGGCCTCGCTGAGAGCCTGAACGTGATGCATTCCAGCTGGACAGCTGCTCCAAAGTCAGCTTTCGTCTTGAGATCCGGGGTACAGGGAGGGGTTGGGGTGCTGGAGAAGAGAGGAGGGAGGCAGGAGGGGCTGTGGGAGTGGAGGGCACCCTGCTTTAGTTATGCTGGGAAGTTCTGTAAGGGTTTTTCTGGCCCTTGGGCTGGTGAGAACTTGACCGGACCAGGAGGACCCCTACCCAAAGACAAAGCCACAGCTCTGTAGGGGTCCCAGGTATCTGCTGGAGAGGCAGGAAGGCCCTTTCCCAGGAGGCCCCCTGCCCCTGCTGGCTGAAGCCACGTGTGGTCAGAGCTCAAGGGAGTCTGTGCCCCCCAGGGGAGGGTGGAAGCTGAGGCCCTCTGAGGCCCTCTCTGAACTGGGATGGAAAAGTGGAGTGTATGCCATCCATGTGGGCAGACGACTGCGAGGACTTGCTGGCCGCTGCTCAGGGCTGTTGACTCATCCAGGATGATGAGTCCTGGGGGGGTGGGGCTTGGGAGTTTATCTCCACTTCCCGCTCCTCTGCAGGGGAGATGATGCTCTGGCGGCTCCTTCTGGAGCCCAGCACCCCTCCATCTGCTCTGGTTCTCTGAGGACCACCTGGCTCCCGGCCTGGCTGTGACTGTGGGGTCCCGGGTCAAGCTGTAGCATGATCCACAGGGAAAGGCCTTCAGCTCCTCAGAACTCTAGGAACTGTGGGGGGCAGGGGTGGCAGCAGCCGAGCCACCAGTGTTGAGCTGAGACCTCAGTTCTTTGGTTCCCTCGTCCCCCAGCTCTGCTCAGGAAGCCCGCCACAGCCAGGCGGGCAGCTCTGAGGACAGGACACAGAGTGGGTGGGGATTGGGGGGCCAGGAGCGCACACTTCTGGGCCAGCGGAAGTCCTCTCCTAGGGAGGCACAACTGGTGTGAAGGCCACAGCCCAGAAAGGACTGGGGTGCGGGTAAGCCAGCCTGGGACATTGTGAGCGGGAGCAAGAGCAAGGATCGGGTGGAGTCAGCAAGGGCCAGAAGGGGGAAGCAGGGCGCAGGCTGTGCGGGGCCGAAGCCGGTGGAAGTTGCTGGTTCCTTTCCTAGAGCAATAGGGAGCCAGTGAGGTGTGAGAGTGGGGAGTGATAGCGTCTGCATGGGCTCTAGAAAGGCCTCTTTGGCAGCCCTTGGGGGCGTGGCAGGGAGCAGTGGTGGCGGCGCTGGGCCTGGGCCTCACCCCTGCCTCTCCGCCCTCAGTTCCGTCAGCACCATCCGGAACCAGCGCTACCACATCCATGCCAACCTGTCCTTCGCTGTCCTGGTGGCCCAGATCCTCTTGCTGGTCAGCTTCAGCTTCAAGCCTGGCACGGTGAGTAGCCCCACACCCGTCCCTCTCCTTCCTCCCTCTGATGTCACTAGGGCTGACTCCGGCTGGATTCTTCAACTCAGAATTCAGGCCACACCCCCAGAGTCGGGCAGGGGCTGGTCCAGGAGAGGCCCAGGAGACAGCCTGGCTGAGCTGGGATCTCTGCCCACTGCTGGCCCATGGGCTGTGTCAGCTCGCGCTCTGGGCGTGATGGGGTGCCAAGCGTGATGCAGACAGGCGACACAGACCAGCCCCTCTGATCCTGGAAGACAGGCCTGTGGAGGCCGTGCTGTCCTCGCCTCCTGCTTCTGGATGTGGGAGCGGGTGACAGACGACTCTGGCAAGGGTTGGCCCCTGCAGTCTTGCTTTTCACGGCTGCATTGACCTCAGAGACCCCCAGCCACTTCCGTTGGTGGAGGGTGAGGTCGGGCGCTGCTGGCAGGAGGAATGTGAAGGCCCAGGCCTACCTCCTCCCTGCCCTTCGTACTGGGGACCTAGGAAGTCTTAGAACCCCAGAAGGGTAAGAGCTAAAACTGAAATGGCTTGGGGATGTGGTTTTAAACCCAGCTGGTGGGAAGGAGAAGCAGACTCCCGCTTGCTCCCACCAGGAGAGGAGAGGCGGTTCTGGGGAACAGAGCAGTAGAGGTGGGCGGTCTTAAGACACACAGGATGGGCTGAGGCACAATGAGCTCGTCACCCTACGCTGGCGGGGGTCGGCAGAGCTTCCGGTCCTCTCTGCCGAGGGGTCCTCAGCCCCCACCTGCCCGTCCTGGGGCCGCTACCGAGGGAGAGCTCCACCCTCCTGGGCTGCAGGGTGGTCCTCCCTCGCTGGTTTAGGGGCGCAGAGCGGCATCTAAAGATCCCCGCATGGGCGGTGGAGGGATCGGCCACGTGCCAGCCGCGTTCTCCAGGTGCGTCCGCCCTCCGGTTTCCTTAGAACACGGATTTGGGTTTGTAGCTCTGGGTGTGGCCAGAATTCTGGATTTCCATCAGGCCTCCGGACGATGCGGATGTGGCCTGTATAGCACCGACCCCCCTCCGGGAGGGATGGGGCCCCACCGCGTGCCCTGGGGGCCGGTCCCGGAGCGGCTGGTGGGTGGTGGCGCCCCTAGGAAGGGGCTGCAGGGACACGGCACACCTGCCTCTGACGCACGCATGGGGCAGATGAGGGACCTCCAGCTGCACCTGGGAAACCAGGTGCCAGGGACACGATGCTGTCCTGAGAATGAGCTGGTATCACGGGGAGTCTGGGACAACAGAGCTTGGGGTGCCCAACAGAAATCATGCTATATCTGGGGCTCTGTCTTTAATTCTTTAATTTTTCTCTCTTTTTCATTATTTTAATTTTTTAAAAAAGATTTCCATACATTGAATTTGTATCCTGCAACTTTATTGAATTCATTTATCAGTGCTAGTAATTTTTGATGGAATCTTTTGGGTTTTCTTTCTTTTTTATTTTTAGATTTTATTTGACAGTGATCACAAGTAGGCAGAGAGGCAGGCAGAGAGAGGGGAGGGGGAGAAGCAGGCTCCCCGCCGAGCAGAGAGCCCCATGCAGGGCTCGATTCCAGGACCCTGGGACCACGACCTGAGTCAGAGACACAGGCTTTAACCCACTGAGCCACCGAGGCGCCCCATTATTTTAATTTTTGAAGGTGTTATTTAAACGTATTATTATTTTTCCTCCCTCCCATCATTGTGCCCCCTTCGTGGCCCCACGTGGACACCGGCTCTGGGCGCCAGACCCGGCACAGGTCGGGTTTAGGGACCTAATGGCAGCTGCCTGGCCCACGTGTCTGCGAAGGCCCAAGCTCGAAGGCTGGCTCCCTGGCAGCTCTGCCCTTTCCCCAGAGCCCACCCCATTGGGTCGGTCTGCTCACGTGGCCAGCCTGAGCCAATCCTGCTGCAGAGGACCGCCCACCTCTACTGCTCTGTTCCCCAGAACCGCCTCTCTTCTCCTGGTGGGAGCAAGTGGGAGTCTGCTTCTCCTTCCCACCAGCTGGGTTTAAAACCACATCCCCAAGCCATTTCAGTTTTAGCTCTTACCCTTCTGGGGTTCTAAGACTTCCTAGGTCCCCAGTACAAAGGGCAGGGAGATGCTGATGTGCTCTCTTGAGCCAATCACTGTTCCAGAGTCACAGGTCCCATCCAAACTGTGGGGTCTAGAAAGGGAGCTTGGGCCCCGCCCCTTTGAGGGTGGGGAATGAGGGCATGTGACCCAGGATGCCAGGAACCGCCCATAGCTCACACCCAGAGAGATGGCCCTCTGCATTTTGATCCTAGGTCCCCTGCCGGGTGTTGGCCATGCTCCTGCACTACTTCTTCCTGAGCGCCTTTGCGTGGATGCTGGTGGAAGGGCTGCATCTCTACAGCATGGTGATCAAGGTCTTTGGCTCAGAGGACAGCAAGCACCGCTACTACTATGGGATAGGATGGGGTAGGTGGGGAAGGGGTGGGGCAGGAGGGGATGGGATGGGGCAGGAGGGATGGGATGGGGCAGGTGAGGGATAGGATGGGGCAGATGAGGGTAGTGGGATAGAATGGTATAGGTGGGGCAGGTGGGGATGGGGTGGGGCAGGTGGGGAAGGGGTGGGGCAGGAGAGGGTGGGATGGGGAAGGAGGGGGTGGGATGGGGCAGGAGGGGTAGGTGGGATGTGATCTTGCTTCATATGACATACTTCCAAGAGGCCAGATACTCTTAGGCTTGGACAGGCTTTTCCAAATCACATCCGTTCCCATGGAGAGTGCGTTGGAGTTGTCAGAGCTAATGGTCTATTTCCCCCATACCTGGACAAGTCGTGGAAGCACTGCTCTGGAGCTGGGGCAGGGACGGTGGCTTGTTTGTCGGGTACACCACGCCAGCATCAGAGCATGGCCCTGGGTGGGGTGGGCAGCTCACCTCTTGCAGTGTAGGGCCTCCGCCCTGTGAATGCCCTTAGGGGAGGGCAGTCGGGGCTGTGTTCTCCGTGAGTCCCAGCGGAGACAGGTCCCACATACTCTGGGCTGCGGCTGGATGGAGGAAGGGAGCTCTGATCTCTGTCGCTCTTACCTGGGACAGCGTTTCCGCAAGGAGCGGGCTGCCCACCCCTGTGAGATAGTGTAGCTCCAAGGGGCCCAGTGCGGGGAGGCCTGTCTCTTTGGGGTAGAGCAAGTCATGGCTCGAGTGATGGACCCACTGTTATTACCAAGATTTAGTAGGTTTTCTTGAGTAAGTTTTTCCTGATTTGTTGTATGGCTTTAGGAAAACGTGCAGAGATTTTCAATGGTTGGGGTTTCTCTAGGCTAATTTTCACCAGTGAGGGTTGTCTCACAGAGCGGTGCATCCGTGGAGCCGCTCATGGCTTCATCCTGGAAGCCCCCTCCCCATTGACTTGACTCCGTGAACTTCCATCTTACCCACCCTACCCTGAGGGGTCCCTGCTTCCTGTCAGCGTGGGTAGACCGCCATGTCACTGACACCTGCCATGACTGCATTTGCAAGAAAGCATTTATCCAGCATTAGTGACCTGCTGCTTGTTCCTGGTTTGCCTCACATGGGTTTAATTCGCACAGCCCTCATGCAGGGAGCCGATAAACACGTGTACTCTATGCTTTGAGCTTCTTGATGTATTTGGGGCGAAGGCAGTACGTTCTGCACCCTCCTGGCTTCTGCAGCTGCCTCCCTTCCCCCCCTGCTGCTGGGGCCACGCAGGGAGCAGGCCACGGCGTCCAGGATGCCCCCCACCCGCCTGTGAGCACTCCTGCAGCCTGCGCCCGCCTGGGCTCTTATTCGGTCAGCGGAATTAAAGGAAAAGAAATGGAAGATTTTAACCAGTATTTAAATATTCTGAGGTTTTATATAAATCACAGAGATCTTTTGAAAAGTGCGGCCCTCTGGGAATCCTGAGTTCACAGTCCTGTTGGGCGGCACAGTCTGGACTGTGTAGCTTCTCACCCCGGCGTTATCCCTGTGGTTGGGTGCGTGTGTGGCCCAGATGTTGCTGTTTGCAGAGGGAGCCCAGGGCCGGGCCCGTCACCTTCCCATGGGGGATGTCCTCAGGGCTCAGGAGTTGCCTCTCTCCGTCTGCCTGGGTAGAGTTCACTCTGGGCATCAGTAATGACAGCACACAGCCGGGCCCTCTCAACCTTCAGGGGCCAGTGAGGAAGGAGCTGGAGGCTGACCCCAGGCACAGGGAGACCACCCCACGGGGAGCGCCCCTTGCACAGAGGCCTTGTCCTCCAGAGCCCGCCCCTGGCCTTGAAGCCCTCAGGACTGTTTTGAAGCCGAGTTGGGGGATGGAGGCATCACATCAGGAACATACCTTGAGGTTTTGCGAGATGTCAGGCCCTAGGTTGGACTTGTAAGGTGAGTGAACCGTGATCTCTGTCCCTGAAGTGTCCCCGTGGGAGCAGGAGAGATTAGGAGGGATGTTTGAGAGTTTGCGCATCCTGCTGCAGATGTGCGTTTCCGATGGCCGACTCAGAAGTGAGGGGTGTAGCTTTCTCTGGAGAGCTCCCACTCGTCCCAGGCACATCCTTGGTTGTGGTTCATGGCGGCCTCCCTTCCCTGGGCTGCTTGGTGCTCCAGGGAGCCAGGCCAGTGCTGGGCCACAGGGTTGCCAGTCAGATGGCCACTCAGCGCTGTTTGCTGTAAAGCCACACACCTTTACTTCCCGTTTCTGTGTCCCTGGTGGCTGTGGCTGTGGGCGGGGCTGTGCTTGTGGCAGCCCCATGAGGAGGGGTCGCTGCCTGGAACTGTTGCTGGGTGCTGGGGGAGAGGGGAGGACACGGAAGGACCTCACACTGGAAATTAAATACTCAGTCCTGAGAGGCACACTCACTTCTGTCCACACCCAGGACCCTAATAGGCTCCCTCGCGCCCAGAGAAGCATCTGGAAGAGTGCGGCAGGTGGCACTGGCCCTCAGGCAAGAGGGCAGGCCACTTGTCTCCAGCCTCCTCTCTGCCCTTCTCTGTGAGGCCTCTGCCCCTGTGTCAAGTTTCCTGGTATCCGCTCCCTGGGCTCTTTGCTCTCTCCTGGCTCCCACGGTCCCACCCTGGGCTGGGGAATTACCACCGCTTTCCAAAGACAGCGCGTCCTCAACTCCTCGCAGTTTGTGTCCACACGCCAGGGCCAGACGGACCCTGAACTGTCTGCAGAAGCATGCCATGTGCCTGCACGGCTGCGGGGACCGATGGTCGTGGTGATGGCCACAGTAGAGGGACTGGAGTTGGCTAACAGTGCAGATGATTACAGGGACTGAGCTGAGCCGTGGAACGTCTTGTCATTCACACACGTGGCCAGAGCACAGTTGGGGAGCAGGGTGCTCGGCCCTCCATTTCCACAGGGAGACCGTGGAGACTCAGTGGAGACTTCATTGAGGCCACACAACGGGTCTGGGGTGCCCCTGGGAATGGACCCAGGGCCCAAGATTTTCTTACTGGCTCTTACCTTCCTCCTAATCCTCCCACCTCTGAAACATTTCTTCGTAAGAACACACACATTGGGGCACCTGGATGACTCAGTCGCTAACCATCTGACTCTTGGTTTTAGCTCAGGTCATGATCTTAGGGTCCTGGGATGGAGCCCCATGTTGGGCTCTCTCCCTCTGCCCCTCCCCCCACTCCGGTGCATGCTCTCTCTCTCTCAAATAAATGAGCCTTTAAAAAAGAGAAGAGTACACACTTAGTCACATGCTGGGCTCTGCCATGTGCCTCAGAGACCGCAGACAGACAGGCTGCCTCTGCTCAGACAGACGCTTCTCCCACTGCCCCATGGGGTGACCTGGGATACCAGGAGAGGGACACAGGAAGAAATGGTGAGGGAGCCCCCAGCACTGCGTTTGAGATCGAATGAGCTGTGAATGCAGAAAAAGAACCTTGGACTCCTCCATTTTACCCCAGGCAGCAAAGATGCCAGCCGCAGACCCGTGGACGTGGGCCAGGACTGGGGGAGGGGCGTGTAGGCCTTGACCACCGAGTTTGAAACCCATCTCCAGCAGTCCTTGCCACACCTTCTGGAACCCACCAGGATGGGACGTCTGTGCCTGCTTGCTGTTCTGTGGACCCAGAGCAAGGGTGGCCCTTGGCCTGCACTTCCTCAGTGAAACTGGGGTGCCTCGGTGATGCTGTTGGGGTGCTGGGTGGCTGCCAGTGCCCGGGGCTTAATGCTCCCCCCACTAGGCCCCTCACCATCTCAGGTGCCAGGTGACCCTCCCACACCAAATGAGCCGGGCAGAGAGGATGCCCTGTGACATTTGTGGACATGGAGGGCCCAGGGAGGGGCTGCTGGGCTGGAGCCAGGTCCCAGGGAGTCGGCTCACTTCCTGTGGCCCTGGGTCCATCCGGGCAGGAGCCCCAGGCGTGTGGCACCAGGAAGAAGTCTGCCTTCTCTCTTGTCATGCTCACCTGTGGAACACTCCTGTAACAGCAGGCCATGGTGAGAGCCCCCAGCCTGGCCGCCTCTCCCCAGAGGCCAGTGGGTCCCCTCTGTGGAGGCCTGGACGTTTTCTGTAATGTATTTGAACTAGTTAGATGTCAGAGCAGCAGATCAGAGATAGACCAGCCGTGCAGGAAACTCCGGTTCACGACTGTTCAGACTGGAGCTGGAAAGGCCGGGAGCCGCCACAGGAGGCACGCAGGCACAGCCCGGGGCAGGCTTTCCTCTCCTTCCTCTGGGGCCACGAGCTCAGCGCAGGCAGGGCGGGGGGCACTCCTGCGTGCTCACCACCCCCAGCCTCGGCTCTGGGAGCAAGCAGAACGCAGCCTGGTTGTGAGGAGCCAGCCAGCAGAGGGACAGGTCCCCTGATATCCTTGTCTGGGCCCCCTTCCACGGCAGGGGAGCAGGGGAGAGGATAGGGTTCAGAGGTCTGTGTGTGAGTGTGGGTGTTCATGGGAATGGGAGTGTGAGGGTGAGGGTGAGCGTGAGTTGGCCCTCGGTGTAGACTGAGGCTCCTGGAGGCCGTCTCAGCACTTCCCGCTCGCAGTTCACAGGGGAATGAATGACTGAGGAATGAGGGGTTCCAAAGCCAGCGGCCATGATCTCCTGCTCTCATTGTCCACAGGTTTGCCTTTCCTGATCTGTGTCATTTCAGTGTCATCTGCTACGAACAGTTATGGAACAATTACAAAGTAAGTTAAGGGACGCATCCTTCTGTTTGGCAGGAGGGAAAGTCCGCTGTTGGGGGTCTCTGGGCCACTGCCCTGTCATCCCGTGTTGTTCTGGGGGTGCGGTCTGTCTCTGTGGGGCTGCCCCACAGAGGCCCTGGGGCAGTAAGGAGGCCAGCGAGGGCCAGGAACAGCCCCAGCTGAGCCCAGGCACTCTCCTCGCAAGCAGAGGTCCAGGGGGCTCGCCGTTTCCCAAGAGGATGGGAGCGGAAGATCCCCCTCAACTTAAAATTCTCAGGAAATGTGGGGGAGCCCAGCCACCTTGTGTGCAGTTGCCCCCTTCGGGAGCCCGGGTTGGCCATGCACCTTGCAGCGGGGCTGCTCAGGTGCCTTTCCTGGAAAGGTCACCTCCTCAGAGCAGGGCCCAATGAGCAACTCACAGATGCCGTCCCCTGCCGCAGGCATTTTGTGTGTCCTGGTCCTGGAGGTGTCAGGGGAGGAAGGGGGGCAGACAGGTACCTGGAACGTTCACCCCAAGAATGAGAGGCAGAAATCATGGTGGGAAGGATGCAGATATATCTGTGGGGGTGAACAGTGTTAACTCTGGCTGCTCAGATAGACCACGTAGTAGAAAAAGATACTGGCTTGGCAACTGTTCTGGGCAGAGGAACAGTGGTGTGGACCTCATGCTTTGCTTCCATCCCCAGCTGCTGGCTGTCCATCACCAGTGGCGCTGTCTGGGCCTTCGTGGCCCCTGCACTGTGCATCATTGTGGTAAGTTCCTGCTTGTGGGAGCAGAGGGGCTGGGCGTTGTGGGCCCTGCGACCCCATCCACAGCCTTTCACAGCACCCCTACTCCGGCATGTGATACAGGGCTCTTGTCCCCAGATGGTGTGTGGGAGGTGCAGGTGCACACAGCCTGCGAGGGGCAGTGTATGCCGGTGGGGTCTTCCCTCCCCGGTCTCGCTCTCGCCCTGCCGCCGCAGCTGCAGCAGGGATGGTCATGCATGTCTGGGAAGCAACCCCACAGAGTTCCCAACATCACGGGGGACAGAGAATGCCACCCGAAGGGCCGGTGAGCTCTCAGGCTGGCCTGCTGGGGGCTCTGCTGGGGGCTCAAGAGAGGCTTCAGCAAGGGGTGGGGGCTCCCACTTCTGGCGGGGGGTGCCATCCTTGGATGCCGGGGGTCCACCTTCTGACCCGGGTTGTGGGGGCGCTGTCCTCAGGCAGGGGGCCCTGACTGTAAAGAGCTCTGGAATCTCATAAAATTCTAAAGACAGCCTTTGCTTTTCTAGCTATTGTTCCTCCTACATTTCCCACGAAAGCCCTGGGTTAAGTTTCATCCTTTCTGATGGGCCTGGCTTGGAACGTTGCCCATTATGGCCCCTTGCTGCAGCCAGAGGAGAGGAGTGCTCTGACTGGCCAGCCCTCCTGGGCCTGGAGGAGGGGAGTGGTCTGATTGGCCGGGCCTGGGTGGCTATGCCAATCCTGGGACTGGAGCAGGTGGATTCCAAGTCCGGGAGGAAGTTACAAGAAAACTGGGGTGTGGTTCGCAGAGGAGGGGCGGCGCACAAGTGGCCGGGGCCCTGGGAGGTGCCAGGGAGCCCCTCTCCATCCGGTCTGGGCCCGGAGCCCTGCTTCTTCCCAACTCAGGGGACGCCAGGTGTGGCCTCGAGGTCGTGCCGGCTGGGCCCTGTGGGCCAAGTCCCTGGGGTTCCTTGGAGGAGGGTTCCCTGGTGTCCTCGTGGGGGATCGCCTACGAAGTCAGCATTGATCACAAAGGCTCAATGTAGGACCATCCTTCTCCTAAGACGTGAAAGTGCTTTTCCGTGAAGTGTCGCCGCCTGTGCTGGGAGTAGCTGCGGGAGAGATGGTACTTGCTGTTCCCTGGAGTGGCAGCCCAAGGCACCAGGGCGGTAGAATGACCAAATCCTGGCCTGGGGGGCCGGGGTGGGGTCGGGCAGTGACCTTAGTGTGGATGTCCTCCTCCTGTCACTCCCCCCCCCTCCCAGGGACACAGACCAGGGGACTTCTCCACAGGTAGCATATATGTTGGCTAACTGAATGTAACAAAAAAATCCATCTATGCCCGGTAGATAGGAAAGGCTCAGTCCTGGGAAGCGCAGGGGCTCAGGCACTCGGGATGTCAGCAGGTGTCTCTTGCTTGCCTCCGGCCCGTTGCCTTGGGCTAGCTGCGTCTCAGGCACACTCTGTCTGGCGGGGACATGTGTCCTCTAAGTGTGCAGGACAGAGCAAGGAGGGAAACTGTCCCCGGGGAAGTCCTGGAGCAGTTCTGATTGGCTGCTGTGGGTCACATGTCTGTCCCAGAGCCAGTCACCGGGGATGGAAGTGGATGACTGGCCAGGCCAGTGTCACCTGACTGCTCGGGGGCCAGAGCTGGGGGGTCCGCCGGCAGCCGTGGGGAGCCGGGGAGGAGCGTGATGCCGGTGCTCTTGTGCCACGATCGGTACCGGGCATGAGGCCTGGTCAGGGAGGCCTGTCTCTGCCATCCCATCTGGGCATCTGTACCCAGTGGTGCTGAGCACTGTCACCAGGAAGGGGTGGCCCATGGAAGGGCCTCCCCACACCCTTTCTGCCCCCTCCCCTCTGTGCAAATCCACATCTGTAATCTCTAGGACCCCAGGTGGGACCCCAGAACACGTGCTGTCGGGGCCAGAACCCTGGACGCACTCCAGGTGCACCCTCCCATGCTGGGACCCTTGATATGCTCTCTGTGTGCACCCCTGCCTCAGCACCCCCTGGATAGGCTCTCCACATGTACTTCTGCTGGGACCCCAGGACGTGCCCTCCATGCACCCTGGGGCGGTCCCCCAGGCCATGGTACTGCTTCTCGGCTGCCGCCCTTAAGGATGTGAAGTCCTGCCTTGGCTGGGGCACCAGTGTTGACAGGGAGGGAAAGGGACACCTCCCGGATGCCTGTCCCTTCAGCGTCCTCATTCATCACCCCCATTCATCGCCCCCCATCGCTCATCCCTGTCTGCCACCCGAGGACAGGTGACCACTGAGGGCAGTCCGCAGGGACTTGGACTGCTTGTCCCTGCATGGCCGGGCTCTCATAAATTCCACACCTTCCCTTCTTTCACCCTGGTTCTCTTCCCAGCTGCTTATCTGAAAGCCCACTTGACTTTGTTCCAAGTTCGCTGGCACCAGCCGAGGCTGTGGGCCCTGGTGGTTAATTAGAAGTGAAAGTGAGGGAAGAAGCTTGAGGATCTGTTAGTTCCTGCCTCGTTAAAATCCTGTGCACACAGTGCTCAAGCCTTACATTGGTGGGGCAGTGCGAAAGTGAGGGCTTTCCAGAGGAACAGAGCTTGGGACACCACCATGGTGTCACCGCTGTCTACTGGGGCGAGAGTGACAGTGGGAGGCGCCCGCCCCACACAGCAGCCCCATTGTCCCACATCATTCACCCGGCTCCCACTTTCTGGGCCAGGCTCCTGCTCCCTGGCTTTGGGGATGTGTGGCCCGTGGAGGTGCCGGCAAGAGAGCAGAGGGTGGGAGGGGAGCGAGGCCAGGTGTCCACCCTTGGATCCTTCATATAGGATCCAGGTGGCCATGGCTGCGCCATCCTCCATAGGCCAGAGCCTGGCCGCAGCCCCGGCCTCCATGCTCCCCAGGTACCTCTGCGAGGGGAGGGGCACAGCTGACCCACATGTATACATCTTGTCCCCATCTCCCAGTCCTTCTGTGTCCAGGAGGAGCAGCAGGTGCTGCTGGGAGCACTTGTCCTGCATGCCGCAGGCTCTGGTCCTCCCAGGTGTGCCCCCCCCCAACTGGCCCTCAGGCCTCCCTGCACAGGAGAAGCTGTAGGAATGGAGGTACTAGAGGCCATTCCAGTTGCCGTCTCCCCAGAGTCCTCTGTGCATGAGCCTGGGACGGCCTCTCCCCAAGGGAGGGAGGGTGTCGGGGGGACATGTCCTGAATAGGCAGGCGAGGGCCGGGGGTAGGGGTAGGGAGAGCCCATGCTGCTGAGATCCAGCACAGAGGGATCAAGAAGACCCTGCCTCAGGCCGGGGTCCTGGGGAAGGAGAGAGGGGTAGGTATGAGGGCCATTTTGGGGAGTCAGGGGAAAAAGGAGGTGAGACCATCCTGGTGCTGGGTGCAGGGTGGAAGGAGAGAAGGGATGCTTGTGTTTGCCTCCCAGCTTGCAGACGGAGGGGCGAGTCCGCCCGCAGAAGCGTCCCGCGCCCGGCAGCTTCATTGCTGCAGTTGTATCGCGCTCGGGATGCGGGACTAGCTTCAGGCGTCTGGAGATCTTGTGTGAAGGTACCTGGGACATGTGGCAGCCTGGCTGTGTGTGGCTGGGTCTGTGGTGAGACCAGAGGAACCAGTAACATGGCCACCCAGCCCTGTTCTGGGGTGGACAATGGAGCCTCAGGGTGGGTGGGAGTAGCTCAGGGCTCTGTGGTGGTGACCTTGGGCTCCCACGTTGTGGCTGCCACTCTGGGAGGCTGAGACACTCTCGAGGGATGGACCGTGGACGGAAGAGCTTCCTGGGGGACCGGAGCTTTTGAGGAGCCTGACCGGGCTGAGCATGAAGAAGGGCGGGGCATGCCCAGCCGGAGAAGATCTCACACCTGTTCTGCAAGGGCCGAGAGGTCGGGGAGGGCCCGGGATGGTGGATCCGAGCGTCCCCCCACCATTGCACAAACGAGGGGCTCTGAGCAGGGCCAGTGTTCTCCAGGGAATAGCTTAAGCTGCAGGAGATAACTCGGGGATGTGTGACGGAGCCTGCAAATCCAGGGCCGTCCCCTGTCCCTGGGGCTCCGTGGGGCTCGGGGGCACGGAGCTGTGGCTCCCTGAGGAGGGCTCCCATCCGAGCATAGAGGCTCTGACAGCCTGTGTGGCTAAAAGTGCCCACCAGTGCTTGCCAGTTTGGAACACGTTTTTGAGAGGTGTCTGTTTGGGTTGGGATGGGTGGTTTCTACGTGTTCTGGTACAATTGGTCCTCCTGGGGCCGGACTCTCGGGGATAGTGAAGGGTCCCTGGGGCCTTGAGCTGGGGAGAAAAGGGCAGAAGTGAGCCACAGCCATCCCATCACCACACATACTGTTCCCCAGTCAGGAAGGGAAGTGGCTGCCATTCCCCAGACAGCTGCAGGCAGGCTGAGTGTGGATGGCCTGTGGGACCAGCAGGTGTCATAGGAGCCGTTGAGTCTGGATGCCCTGCTTGGGAACCCTGTGGGTGGCAGAGTCCCCCAGGGCCTTGTTTTGTGCAGGCCTCACAAGGCAAGAGAGAGACTCCTCGGAGGAGAAGTCGGGACAGCTGGGTCTCCATAGATGCACAGATGCCACAGGGTTATAGTGCCAGTCACAGATGTCCATAGGGACAGATGAACAGCCGTGGACTCACACCGCCGTGTCTCCTGTGTATGTCTGTGTAATGCTCTCCCTGTGAGTCGTGGCATGCACCTCCCTCACGAGGTCAGGGAGCAGGACACGGTGCAAACCCCAGAGCCCCGTGCAGCCCTTCCCTCCTCCCATGGTCACGTGACCCTGAATGCAGATCCTTCCCCCTCCTGCCTTTCTGCTGAAATGCGGCCCACGAGCTATTCCTCCGGCCTCTGTCAGAGGTGACCTGCTGGCTGTTGTCACGGGGAATGCTGGTTAATGAAACAGCCAGTGTCCGAGGTGCATGGGCCTCCCCACCTGGGCCTCCCCACCCCGGCCTCCCCCCTTCCCCAGCCTCCCTCCCATGGACGGCCAGGGTGAGGGGTCAGACCCACTTCTGCTCTGGATGTTCCCAAAACACTAGGGCTTTTTTGTTCCCAGCACAGCCTTCGCCAGAATGAGGAGGCGGCGGTCGCTGGGTTGGGGTTCCCCTGGCCCCTCCCCTACTCTGAAGGCAGGCAGGACTATCATCCCGAGGCACGGAGAGTGCTTGCTGGAGGGAAGCCCTCAGAGCCCAGCGGGGAGAGGGAGATGGGAGAAACGAACCCCCCAGAAATCTTCGCAGAGACAGCCGCTGATGCCAGTTAGAAGCTGTGGGAAATGGCAGCGGCTTCACCGCGGTCACCATACTTCCTGGCAGAGGTCAGGAGGCGACAGGGGGCCCACAGTCCCGTCAGGCACCGTCTGTATACCCCTGATTTTCCCTTCGGGGCTAGAGGCCTTGGGTCATGTAGGTGCAACGGACGAGGGGTAATGTGGTTCTGGAATTTTAACCCTCATGTGGGAACTGGGAAGAAAAATTTAACATTTAAGTACCATCCATTCAGCTCTCTTTCTCACCCTCCACCTCCGCGCCTCCAGCAGACACCCCTGGTGCTAATGACTCGTGTATCCTCAGGGCTTTATGCCCGGAGAGGCGAATGTGAATACACGTTTGCACGCACAAGGCCTGGGGCCTTTCTCACACGATGTCTGTTGGACTCAGGCTTTATGAGCATGGGAAGAACGGCCTGGTCCATGGTCCCCCCACAGAGTGGGCGCCCCCAGACCTGCCACCCGCTGTGGTCAGTCACATGGTCTCCAGCCTGTGTCATTCCAGAAAGACCTCAGCTTTGCCCAGGGCGCAAGGAACCCAGAATGTGAATTGCCGAGTTGAGGGGCTAGGCCTGCAGGGCGGCGGACGGGACCAGCAGGAGCCTCCACTCAAAATGCACAGGAAGTCCTGCAGGAATCATCGTCGGAACTCCAAACTTCCCCCAAAAGCGTAAATCCGAAAAGCATTTATTCCAGAAAATAACCAAATCTCTGGGGGGGAAAGGGGGCTCCTGGTGGCTTTGCCCTCTGGTCGCTGGGAGCGGCTGGTGCCCGGTCGGAGGTGAAAGCCTGTGGCTCTCCGAGCTGAGCTGCACGTGGACTTCGGGGAGCAGCCGTGGTCTGGAGCACAGTCCCCACCGCTCTGGGGCCTTGCTCTGCCCACCCTTTCTCCGCGGCGCTGAGTGGGGTTTTTTCGTGGTTGTCCATGACTGGAGGGGCCGGGAGGAGGGCAGCGCTGCTGGGGGACATTCACACCGTTGACTTCTTTCCTCCTCCCTGGTGCTGGGGGACTTCGGTGAGGATCCTTGTTGTGCAGGAGGGAGAGGAGGCAGGTGATGTGGGTCCGAAGCCAGGGACTGAGCTGCCTGGGGTTGAGGTGTCAGCGAGGACACGGAGCCGGCCCCGCAGGGCACTATACTGGCAGGAGTGCAGGCTGGGGCTGAGTGGGGAGGGTGCCAGCCCCTGCCCCGGTGCTCGGACATGGAGCCATGGGGACAGGTGACTGGAAGGAGGGAGACCAAGAGGAGCTGTTGTGGAAAAGCAGAGAGTTTGTGGGGACGTGTCTGCAAGGCTGCCTTGTAAGGTGGTGTCAGCAGCGGCGCCTCAGGCCGGGGCCCCCATGAGGATGCAGGTGCCTGGGCTGGGCAGACCTGCTTGTGGGCCCGGCCACCAGGGTGGGAGCCCCCGGGCCCCGCCTGCCACCCTGCAGCACCAGCTGGTTCTCCTGGGCACCGGGCTGAGGTGGGGAGGACCACTTCTCCCGGGGGGTCTGCCAGGGAACGCCTTGTCTTTGCCTGTGATCGGGCCTGAAGGTGCACCTAGGATTTTAGCCTGGAGCTGGACTCCTCGGTGACTTTGTCATTGATCTTCTGAGGTTTCCAGAGGGAAGAGGGGTCCCAGCCACAGCACAACCCTGAATCCAGCGGCTGCAGAAGGAAATCCGGGCTCTCCCTTCCCCTTGCTGCTTCCTGCCTTGCCGGGCTCGGTCAGGGCCCCGGAGAGCTGCCCTCAGAGGGCCAGTTTGTGCCAAAAGCTCTTCAGAGAAGCCCCCCAGCCCCACCTCCAGCTCCACTGACCCCAGGGGAGCAGCCCTGGGCAGGTGCAGTCTCCTGCGCCATGACCTCTGTGGACAACACAGCCGCAGGCCTGCCGGGGCCGGGAAGTGAGAGGCTGGCTGTGCGCAGGCGGCTTCGTGGGTACAATTTCTCACCCTTGCAGTGATCTGTTCGCGCTGTGGGTGTCAGGATTATTTCTCCTCTGGTGGGCAACAAGGGCACAAGGCCGTCGTGCGTGGGCTTACCGAGTGAGCAACGCCGAAGTGAGGTCTCAGCCCCAGGCCTGGCCTTGCTGTGCCCCTAGGTTCAGAACTCCCTCATGGGCACAGATGTGCTCCCAGAGGGCACTGCTGCATGTGGCAAGGACAGTGAAAATGCTCGGAGACCCTGTGGGCCAGGTTTCTGCAGAGACACTACCTCCTGGCTCCGAAGCCAGGGGCGGCTTGGGCAGCCATCTGGGGGGATCGGTGCTCTGCGGCCACAGGCCTCACCTTGTGTCCCGTTGCTCTCCACGTGCAGGTCAATGTCGGCATCCTCATCGCTGTGACCAGGGTCATCACGCAGATCAGCGCTGACAACTACAAGATACATGGGGACCCCAGCGCCTTCAAGTAAGTTGGACTCTGGGCCATCAGTGGCGGTCCTGCCTGCACAGAGCTGTTCGGGGCCGGGGGCACTGGGGAGCTTTGAGCTCGAGACCTTGCTTGGCTGTTAGTCGCCTGACCAGGACCAGCCCTTTTCCAGCCTTGCTGCCGCATTTGTAAAGCAGGGGGTTTCATGCCTGGGGTGAGGAGGAAGATTCTAGATTCGGTCCTGCCCCAGCCCCCGCCATAGCACCCTCCATGCCTTGCTTTCCTAGCCGCGGAGGGCTGTCAATGCAGGTGAACCTCCTCTGGGTAGAACTTCCCGAGGAGCTCCAGGGCTGGTCCCCCGGAGGAGGCGCAGGTCCCTCTGGGGAGGGATCCTCCCACGCCTCCCGCCCTCGAGGCGTCCTGACCCCATAGCAGGGAGGGCTCCCCTGACTGCACCGGACCGAAGACCCAGCACAAACTGGCTGAAGGCGAGGGGGCTGATCCACAGAGCCCAGCAGGGAGTCTCGACCTGCTTGATCCAGGGGACCCGGCTTCTCCCGCATCCTTCATCCCCGTGTCCCCGGTCGGCTTCCTGCTCAGATGGACCTGCCTCCTGGTGACACGGGAAGCCCCTGCATCCCAGATCAGACGGAGGTCCTGAGGCTGGAGGCCGGGGCTCCCATCGCGTCACACGCTCATCCCAGAACCAGTCAGAGCAGAACGCAAGTGACCAGTTCCCCCGGGCCTGAGTCCCAGGGGCCATCCTGGCTCTGGGGGGCACTCAGCACCCCAAACCACAGGCCCAGGAAGTGGGGGAGGTGCTCCTCTCAGGGAACTTGGGGCTGTCACGAACATTTAGGACAGGGACACGAGGTAGCTAACATTCTGCAAGTTACTTTAGCTACACTATATCTTTTCCGATCTGAGAGCAAAAGCAGTAAATATGTCAGCAGCAAATCGATTAGACAATTATTTTGTAATGAGTTCCCAACACCGTGAATTGGACTGACAAGCAGCTCTGGCCCTCATGGGTTTTCTCAGCTCCCAGACACCTCCAAGGGCAGCGCCGTGGGGCAGGCAGGGCCTCCCAGGTCGGGGAGCAAATTTCTGTGTCTCTGCAGAGCGTCGGCTGTTGGCCCAACCACTAAGGACTCCTGTGTCCTGCACCTGACAGCCCAGGGTCCCACTCCTCCCAGGAGAGATCAGGCTGTGCCTCTGGACAGAGAGGTGGCTCTGCAGTATGACCCGGCTGCGTGACCTGTGCTGGGGCTTCTCCACACGGCTCCATGGGGCCCCCCTCACTGTCTTCTGAGGTCTCCTGTGTGGCCCTGTCCCCCGGGCTCCAGACCAGGCAGGGTGGCGGCAACTACGGCATCCTCGGACGGCTTCTGTGGCTGCTTCCTCCTTCCCGGGCCTTGGTTTCAATCTGGCCGTGTCCTCTGTGCAGAGCAGCTCCGCACGGTGACTAACAGGACGACGAGCTTCCTCAGGAGCCCGAAGGGGCTTCCCCTCCTCCTTAGTCTTTGTTTCCTGGGGGACTCCAGACTCCCCAGAGAGGAGCAGGGAACGTTCCACTTTCACAAGTGAGATCCAAGCTCCTGGGGGCAGGGGTGAGGCTGAGGACCATGAGGACCCACCCACGAGCCGTGGGAGGAGGAGGGGGACGCTCATGGGGACTGAGACCCACGCAGGGTGGCCTGGGGAGCAGCGGGAGGGGACGTGTCTGGGCGGTGCGTCCACCTGCCGGGGCCTCCCCCCGGGGCAGGGACCTGTTCCTTCTGTGTGTGACGGGAGGACCCCGGCAGCTCTGGTCCCGTTAACAAGAGGCCTCAGAGAGCGCCAGCTGGACATGTCTTCCCCAAGACCTTCTGTTCTGAGACTTCGTTTTTAAGAAAAAAACAGCACAGTTTGAGACCCATTTCTCAAGCCTGCTCTTTTCATATACGGATTCTCCAGTATGTGAAGATGAAGCTACGTCGTCCGTGATGGTTTGTTTCCTGGATTCCAGTGTTTTGACTGTACTGACTTCAGGGAGATGTGGGGCTGCCGCTCCCTGGGCAGCTGACCTGTGGGGCCATCCGCTGGTTTTCAGGGTTTGTGGCCAGGAGCTGTCAGGACTGGGATCTGGGGTGTCCCACCAGGAAGCTCGGGGGGGCCGTGTCGCCCCTCCTCCCGGGGATGCTGGATGTGTGTGTGCCCGTGTGCACGCTCGTCAGTCTTCCCGTCACTCATTCACTCGCGCGTTCGCGCCTGCACTCGGCGGTCACTTCCTGAGAGCCCACGGGGTCGGGCGCGGGGCTGCGCGTCGGGATCGCAGCAATGAAGCCCCAGCCCAGCTGCTGGGCGCTCGTGGTCTAGTGAGCAAGGCTGATGTGCGGTCAGTGCGCCCAGTGATAAGCACAGCTTTCCTCGGAAGCCCAGGTGCAGACCTCCCAGCGTGCAGAGCCGAGCTGCTCCGGAAGTCAGGGTAGACTGTGAGCAACGGGAAGAACAGCTGGGATCAGACAACACGTGGGCCTTGCCTCAGTGGTTCAGTGGTTCCCTGGGAGCAGACTAGGAGCTAGCTCTGCTCCGGGCTTGCAGACGCCGCAGGGACCATGTCCGCGGAGCCCATGTTCTGGGAAGGAGCCCGTGAGGCCGAATCCGAGAGTGCGTTGTCCTTCCCTGCTGGATCCTCCCCCGGAGCCTTGGCTCTGCTGTGCCTTGTGGGTACCGGGGATCAGCTTTCCGACCCAGCCCTGCTGCCGGCCGGGTCACGGTGATCAGCTGAGGGTGCCCCAGGGGCATGATGGCTGCTGGGTGCCCGGTGCCAGCTGCAGGAGGGCAGAGGCAGAGCTGCTGGCTTGGCCCCGAGCTGACCGGGCAGGGACCCAGTGTCAGGTCCCCAGCGCTCCGCTCCTCACCCGAGGTTCCCTGCAGGGTGGGGCTCAGGTCTGGCCCCCGGCAGTGCCCTGTCCGCTCCCTCTCAGTGGCCTCCCACTGAGAGGCCAGTGCCCCCCGGCCTGCACCCCAGAGTGGCCGTCTCCACTTCCCTTTCAGGTTGACAGTAAAAGCCGTGGCCGTGCTGCTGCCCATCCTGGGAACCTCGTGGGTCTTCGGCGTGCTTGCTGTCAACGGCCAGGCCTTGGCCTTCCAGTATATATTTGCTGTCCTCAACTCCCTGCAGGTGAGCGCCTGTGGGACTGCCCTGCCGGCAGTCCGCTTCTGAGCAGACGCGTGTGCAGCGGGTTGTCGCAAGCGTGGGACGGAGGCCCTCCTCCCTGCTCCCACCACACATCCTGAGAGACCCAGCATGGGCACGCCCAGGGCCAAAGACAGGGGTATCGATGGAGCCCGCCCCTGGGTCTCTACATGCGGGGCCTGTTTGCAGCAGGGCTGCCTCGTCCTGCTGGCCACTGTCGGTGGGAAGCACAGCGGGGCCTCAAAGGGAAGACGGTTGCACAGATGACACTCTGGAAAGGTCGCAGAGATGGTGACGGCGTGTGCCCCAGGTCTGGGTACACATGTGTCCCCTGTGTGGAGGCACAGAGAAGGGGCAGCAGCCTAGAAATCAGAGACTTGGGGTGCTCAGAGCCCGCACCCCCAGACCCACAAACCCCCAAAGGGAAGGTGGAAGTGAGCGCCCCACCCCCACAGCCCCACAGCTGAGCCTGAGCCTGAGCTGTGTGCCGGCGAGCGTGAGCGCGGCCCACCCACGCCGTCTTTGCTGCGCTCGGGGCCTTCCTGACCAGGGACTGCATCTTACAAGAGCGTGTTGCTGCTTCTGATTTGTAATAAGCTGCACACGTTGTTCCCTTCCAGTCGTTCACCGGAGAAGGTGAATGTCCTGGCTGCAGCTGTCACGCAGCCGGGTCCCGGGGCCCATCACTCATCCTCTCTGCATTCCAGTCCCTCCTCCACGAAGTGGGAACAGTAACAGGACCCACTCCCGGCTCAGCTTCCACACTAAGGGAGCGAGCTCAGGGGAGGTGTTGGCCAGTGCCGGACACACGGTAGCTGTCTTCAGAGTTTGGGGACATCCTCATTCTCGTGCCTGCTTCGTTGTTACCATCATGCTGTCTGGGAGGACACGAAGGTCCGTTCAGTTGATTCTCAGATGTCCTCACCTTTGTCCATTCCCAGCATTTTACTCATCCCTGGGTCTGTCCTGCCTTTGTACCTTTGCCCAAACAGCACAGTGGGCGCAGTGGTGCCTGCCTCTAGGCTGGATTTCACGCTGGGATCTGGATGCCTCCCGTTCTCAGGGGCTCCAGACCGTAGGATTGTCAACAGCTCACTTGCAGGCTCCCCAGCAGTGAGCCACACCAGTGCCCGTCCCAGAACCCACATGGCCTTGGGAGGAAGCTTTGGAGAGTGCTGTGACAAAATGTGAGGGCCTAATCCTGTGTTCTCCCTTTCCTCCCCAGGGGCTTTTCATCTTCCTTTTCCACTGTCTCCTGAATTCAGAGGTATGGCTGTTCTACTTCCTGGAAACAGAGGTAGTTTTTCACTTCTGGAAGGGCACAGAGTGCAAAAAGTCTTGCCCCATCAGGCCAGTGTCTGGGCAGGCTTTGGTAGTGGTCACAAGTTGTGTGCTATAGGCTGTTTTCCATCAGCCCTTCTCTTGCCTCCTGGTTGCTGAGCAACTCCAGGCATCTCCTTCCTGGCCTCACACAGGCCCTCCTGGCTCTGTGGAGGATGGGGTGATGGAGATAGTGGGGGGCAGCCAATCTGCAGAATCAAGACCTGGCTGGCACATTAGGGAGAGTGAGATGTAGCTGTCTTTCCAATGGCTCCCCAAACGCAAAAGGAGCCTGTCTGGGGTGAAAGAAGGAGGTCTCCTGACCGCAGGACTTAGGGGCACTGTGTCCCCTGCCCTCCGCAGGCATTGGGGCAGTTGGGAGTGGGCTCGTTCTCAGGTGCAGTCTGGACATTGACTTGCCATGCACTTGGCCATGGGGAGGGTGAAGGCTGCTCTAGATCCTATTTCTCAAGACCCATACTTAGGCTTACATTGTGGGCTTGACATCTGAGACAATTTCGGGCTCGGTCATGGGGAGGCACCTGTGGATTAGTGAGTGGGAACAGGCAGAGGGCTGCTATCCCATCTGCGCTATTTCTGTGGGAGGTCTGCTCGTAGGAGATACAGGTCAGGCGGGGAGGGAAGGGATACTGGGGGCAGGAGGATGGCTGGAGGTGGGCAGAGTGAGTCGCTGAGGACAATGGTGACCAGGGGTGGAGGGGAGCAGCTCAGCAGAGCCCCAAACTGCGGTTCACACGATGGGAAGCGGACATGGCCTTGAGCCACGCCTGGCCCACCCCATGTCTGCATTTGTTCCCTTCCTTGTCCTCTGTCCCTGCTCCTGGCCACACTCTGCCCCCTCCACCATTCCTTGTTGAGCATGTGTCCTAGCCAGAACTGGGATGAGGCCAGCAGGGAGCAGACCAGCCCCAGCGTCCTCGCTCTGTGGGCCCTGGTAGGCAGTGGGGACAGAGCACACCTGCTGACTGGGGCAGTGAGTCTGGACAGATGCTTCCAGATCCTGCCCATTCTGGGACTTTATTTCAGCACAAAACCTAGAGGCTTTGGAGAACAACCTTTATTGTTGCCGTTTCCACCGCTGAAATGGCTTCTAACCATCTTCTGTTCTGCCTTCAAAGGTGAGGGCTGCCTTCAAACATAAAACCAAGGTCTGGAGCCTCACGAGCAGCTCCATCCGCAGTGCTAACACGAAGCCCTTCAGCTCCGACATCGTGAGTGCCGTGCAGTGTCGGGTCTGCACCCCCTTCTCGCTTCGGTCCTGTCCTGAGTGCCTGTGCACGTGCTCTCATGGACCCGTGGGCTCTGGACTTCTTCCTTGTTACCTGGAAAGTCCCAGTGGCCGCTGGCCTTGGCTCTGGGCACCAGGCCTCTGCCCTCCTGGGCCTCCTAAACCCAGAGCCTCCAGAGCATATCTCCTTCCTTCCCTGAGCCTGACCTGGCCAGGGGCACGTTGTGCAGGTGGCTGCCCAGCTTGGGGCTTGGTGCTGAGGCATGGCCGCTGGCGCCTCCTGCTCGGCCTTTTACATTCTTCATCCGGCCTGGGGGCTGCATGTGCTCCGGGGTGACGGTATGTCCACAGCAGCCCATCTCCCAGGGCCAGTACTTCTGCACTGACTTAGGAGGAAGGAGGATGAGCTGATGAGGAGGCAGGCACGGGGTGTGCTGCCAGTGTCCCGGGAGGTATGAAAGTCCCCAGGCACAGCCCGGTCTTCAGGGAGCTTATCTCCTGCATGGGTCTCTTCCCTCTGCAGATACCCGAGGACCGGGTCTTGGTGCTCAGGGATCCCGACAAGCCTGTCATCTCCACACCAGGCTCGGTTCACCTTCCTCCTGTGGGAAGTGCAGATGCGGGCAGGGCCCCAGGTGCCTGGGGTGGATGACGTGTGTTCTGGCTGAGCCCAGGGCCTGGCACAGGGTCCTGTCCTCGGGAGGGACTTCCTGGGCCGTGTTGTGTCATAACCACCAACTGCTCGTTCTGTTTACTGACACACGTGTGACTGTCTCGTGTCTCCCGCTGGTGGGTAGAGCATGGGGACAAGGATATGGTTGGCACTGGTCACTCCTGTGAGCCCAGAGCCTGCGGCAAAGGTGAGGTATGCTCAGTGAGTGCATGCGGAGTGCACGGACAGAGAGGAGTGGGAGTGAGCGTGTGCGACACCAGCTCCGGGAAGTGACAAGGAAGTCAAGTCAGCGGAGAAGGTGGGAGGCAGTGTGCCCCCGGAGTTCAGCGCTCTCTTCCCCGGGGGGGGCAGCGGGGCCCTGATGGGTTGGAGGGGGCCTCATACAGCTTTCTGGGCCAGCACTTCTGCACTGCCCGGGATCTGGTTTCCTGTCCTGGGAGCACGTCTTCAGAGTTCACTCGTTTGTGATTCACAGATGAACGGGACCCGGCCAGGCACAGTGTCCACCAAGCTCAGCCCCTGGGACAAGAGCAGCCATTCTGCCCACCGCGTGGACCTGTCCACCGTATGAGCAGGGAGGCCGCTGACCGGCCGTCTTGCTGCTCAGACACACCCCGCAAATTAAACACAAGAAACACTCTGCCTTCACCGTGGGACCCTCTCCTTGTTGCTGTCTGGGTGTGGGGGTCCTGGCCCCCTTGACAGGCGTCCTCACCTCTGGCCCTCCCCGTGTGACAGAGCCCACTGCTGGGCCCGAAGCCTGATGCACAGTAGGGGGTGGCCCTCCCAGCTCTGGTCCTCCCGTGGCCAAGTGACTGTCCCCTGGGGCACTTGCCGTGGGCACATAGGACCCTGGGGCTGCAGCACGACGAGGGCAAGTTAGCCTGGGCGCCGTGATGGGGACTTTGGGGCCAGAGAGGCAGGGTCCTGCGGGGGAGGTGAAGGCCCCAAGGTACCCCTGCAGGGTCAGGCAGAGGCACGTGGGGGCGTCTAAGGAGTGTGAAGAATGTCCTCGACCTGCTGAATCAGCCACAGCAAGCTCTGAGAAGAGGGCCTGGTGCAGGCTGGAGCCCCGCGGGCCACCCTCGCCTTCCGGCTGCACGGAGGGTTGGGGCCGGGGGGTTGCTGGCTGCTCAGGGCCCATCTGTGGGAGGAGCCTGGTGGGGCCGCTGCGCGGACAGCTCCCAGCCTCCCCATCGGGGTTCTCTCCACACTGGCGGTCTGCCCCGCCCGGGGCCCTGCTGGGAGCACCTGAGCCCTCCCTCATCCCTGCAGCCCCGCAGCTGGGCTTCCCATGGCCTCGATTCCCCCAGAGCTTCCTGCTGGTCACATATAGACCCGTTCTGTGTTTCCCCCAGGCAGATGCCACCGGTGGGTAGTGAGCACGCATCCCGTGTGGCCACAGAGGCCGCTCACGCCGTGGACCAGGGGAGGGTGGCCTGACGGTGGCTGTGTCTTCTGGTCGCTTTCGGCTTGTGGACCGGGGCTGGGTCCCCAGGAAGTGGAGTGACCATTACTGCTGGGTGTGTGGGCAGGGTCCCTGTGACACCAGGGCCTGTGACCTTAGATGTGCCCCCAGTGCCACTGAATATCGGGAAGCAGGCTGGGAAAGCTCAGACCGGGGCGTCCGCGGGGACGGTGTGCATGAGCCGTGGGGGCGAGATGATCAGGCCTGTAGCTGATACTGGAAAGTCTTCTGTAAACTGTGACCGTGGTGGCACCAAGCCCTGTCCACCCCGCACGCCCGCCGGGTCTCCAGGGGCCTTCTCCCTCTCGCTCGGGTGCTACCTGATCCCGACGGTTGCCGCCGTCCCCCACAGGCATGTCCCATGCGGGGAGGGGTCCGACCGAGAGCCACGTGTCGATCTCGGGGCAGCTGTGTTCTTGCTTCCTCACGAGGTCCTGGGGGCAGCAGCCGACCCAGCACGGGGTGACGGTGGTGGTGACCTCTGTGTGGGCCCCAGGGACGGGCGAGGGGGCTGGAATGCTGCCCAGCCCCCGCCCAGGCTTCTCCTCGTGGTTCCCGAAACCGGATGGCTTGTACCTGCGCGTTGCCGCCTCGTCACGCGCGAGCCCCAAAGAGTGAGAGCGCTGCAGTCCCGAGTGTGCACTGGGGTCGCTGTCCCCTTCGTCTCCGGGGAAGCACGTCGAGCTGTCTTTCCTTCAGGTGGAATTCTTTGTTTTAAGCTCAGCATGTCCGCTCTACACAGCTAATCTATCAAGGGGAGTAATGAAGAAACCTTTCACTTCTAATGAAGGAGCGCGTGCACTGTATTTATAGGCTATAGATCTGGGCTTCTGCGGCGTTTCATTATCTGCACACAATTTGGCCAAAGACAAGAAATTGGGAAGAATCATGTGTTTACGGTAGTTCACAGCACAGGAAAAATGATGAATGCCACCAAGTAGTGAAAATATGTCGTGATTTTTTATGAAATAAACTCTCCATGTCCTGACGGTGATGTGTGGTCCTCAAGTTTTTGGCTTGTGCGAGGTGAGCGGGATGAAGTCTCAAGACAGAAATCTGTGGAGAAACACACGTGGGTGACATCCCGCCCTGGGAGTCACCTGGCAGACATGTAGTCAGCGCCTCCTGTGTACCCAGCACGTCCCAGCTCTGGGGACACTGTGGCGGGTGACACCTGGCTCTCAGGAGCCTCCCTCCCCCGGGCAGGGCGGTAGGGCACAAGCACCAGCCCCCGAGCCCAGGGAGGGAGGACGGGGAGAGGGTCTGCGCAGCCGTGTGTCCCCCTGTGTCGGGGCGCGGCGTGCGGGAGCCTCCGTCAGCACCCAGCCCGGCGCGCAGCTCTCCCACGCTGCTCCTGGACCCGCAGAACAGACGGACTCGTCCTCCTCGTCCCCATCATGTGCCCCCCACAGCCACCGGCTCTCAGACTTCTGCTCTGCACAACCATTTTCTGAATCGCCACATGCCGTTCATAATTTTCCCTGTAGCGAAAATGCATGAAGTACCTGGTGACAAAAATTTCAGCAAACCCTTGAATTATCTTACAATCGTTAAAGAAGCTCAGGAGTGTTCTCTCCTTTTCAGTTTGCTGGGAGTTTGAGAAGGATTGGTGCGCATTCTTTCATACGCCCTTTCTTGACCCTGCAAAGTGCCGGTCCAGTGGCCAGCGGCCCCTCTGCTCTCCCCAGGGCAGCGGGGCTGGCCCAGATGCGGGGGTTTCTCTGCGGCCCCCACAGGGCACTGGCCACAGGCGGCACAGTGTGGGGGCTGCTGTGGACCTGTCTGGGGACCGTGGCCCGGCTTCCTGATGGAGTCTGAGGCAGGCTTAGCAGCGTCTGTGTCCTTTGGACGTGCTCCGACAGCCCGGGCTGCGTCCTCCCAGCCGCTGCCTGTCCCCCAGTCCCACGGCCACCTTGGCGCTCGGTGGGGCTGAGGAGTGGGTGTTGCGGTGTCCACGCAGCTGGGGCGTGGCTCTCTCTCCCCCACTGGGGGGAATCACCGGCAGGCCGTGCAGGGAAGGGGGCGAGGGTGCCGTGAGGCTCTTGCCCTCTCCTCTCCCGGCTGCAGAGCGCAGTGTCTGCTGTGCCGTGAGCCGCAGCTTCCTCCCCGGGCTCCCGACCTCCACGAGAGCGGCCATCGGGGATGAACGTGTACCTTCGAGCTTAAAATACCGTCCTTTAGAAACGGAGCTCTGTGCGGTGCTGAAGGATAACGCGGAGGCCTCGCGGCAGCCAGCAACACCACTGCCCGCCAGGGCTGGCCTTTCCCCGAGTTGTCTCCGTTCCTTGGTCCACGGTCCGCTGGCCACTGTGTTTGTGAGGCTCTCACCCCGGGCCCTCCTCTGCATCCGTTGGTCTGTTTGTCTCTTTTCCTTCCTACACGGCACCGTCCCGACTGCCATAGCTTTGCGGTCTTGAAATCGGAATGCGTGAGTCCCCACACGTGCCTTTTCTCCCTCAGGGTCGCGCTGGCTCTCCCAGATACGTGGCCTTGCCGTGTTTTAGACTCAGTCTCTCAGCATCTACACAGTCGCTTGCTGGTGAGGAGATCTCCAGAGCAGTCCTGAGCAACCGATTTCCTCGCAGTCCTGAATGTTTCAACACGCGAATGCGGAGTCTCCATTTGTTTACGGCTTTAGAATTGTTAGAATTGCGTCTTTAAATGTTCGGTAGAATTCAGACTGATTGGCTTTCAGATTTTAACCCATATTCTAACTAATTTTTTAAGTAATTTCTGAAGCACGGGAATCGCTCCTCAGCCGTAGCAGGCCTGCTGATGAGCCCGTCAGAGGCGTTCTGCGTTTCTCTCAAAGGGTTTTGGCTTCCGGCGTTCTGTTGCTTTTTCCCTCAGGTTCACTCTGCTTTCACGGCCCGTCTGTTCTCGCGTGTTGTCTGCGGCTTCTGTTCCGGCTCGTACCGTGTTCATCACGGTTCCTTTAAATTCCCTGCCCGAGGATTCAACATCTGCGCAGCGTGTGAGTCTGGTTCCGACGCTTTTTTCCTCCTTGACTTTCTGACGTTGTTGTTGCTAAAGGCGGTTGGTGTGTTTGAACTGGGTATTAGGGACCTAGGGAAGCGGGGGTCGGGGGAGGGCCTGTGCTAATCTGGCCGGGGGCTGGGCTGCTGGTGCCCAAGGCTTCCCGTTCCCCTGTGGTCCTTGATCTTGCCTTTGCTCCTGACTGTGGACTTGCAGCGAGGCTGCAGCTTGCAGCTCTGTCAGCCGTGAGCCCCGGGGACCCCCAGACCTCTCGCCGCGGGCTGACATGTGGGGCAGGGAAATCCTGTGATCTTACGAGAGCTCTTCCCCCTTCCTGGGTCTGTGTCTAGGGTGGTGACCCTCAGAGGTGTTTCTCCAGTGAGCAGGCATTTCCCCCCTGGGGGGACCCAGGAAGACCAGCGGCCCTGGAAGGAGTGCCCTCCCTGGAATGGATAGAGCTCTGACACGGTGCTTGCCTGGCAGAAGGGGCTCCAGGGATGATGAGGTGGGCGTAACCACGGCCCCCGTAGTCCCCCCAGGCACCTCAGCTGCGGGAGAATGATCCTATCATCGTGTCTCTGGAGCCTCATGGGACCAAGGGTGGGGAGCCGGCGAGCAGGCTCCCGGTGGCAGCAGACGGGGATCTGGTCCTCCCTCCCTGGAGCTTTGGTGCCACATAAACTCCCTTGAACTTGGACGTAACTCTGGAAAGCTGGTGGGCATGGGGGGTGCACAGTCCCCGAATCTCCCCGGGTTGTCACCCAGGCAGAATGGAATCTGAAACAAGCAGTCCGTGTCTCCAGGTCGGCGTGTGGATGAGTCCAGGGTCCCTGACAATTTGGTCGGAGGTTTTGTTCTATAGGAGGAGGAACAGGGACAGGCACCCTAGCTTTGCTCTCACGCAGCTGCGCACCACCTGGGGTGTCCACCAACACCTGCCGCGTGGCTCCTTTCCTGAGAGAACCCTGCCCCGTGTGACTCGGGGAAGGGACGGTCCCTCTACGACGGGCTTGAAGGTCCCATCATTCTTCCAGGGGTTGGTTTACGCAAAGGCATGGGAGGCACCTCGGCCAGTGTCATCTGAGGGGTCACTGGCCTCTGCCCAGGAACCATGGAGCCTGGTGTGACCCAGGGGAGTCGGCCAGGCCACAGCTAACCCCCTGCCATGGCGGCGGGAGGATAGACATTGCCAGGGTCCCTGATGGACGGAGCCTCCTCCAAGAAGTTTCCTCCTTCCCTTGGACCAGAGAGAGTTCTCTGTTGTTCACGCCAGGGGGCCTCTGGCATCCCTGGATGATGGGAGGGGCCCATGTGCCTGCTGCCTCTTGTTTGGGGCTGAGGGGTGGGTCTGTGAGGGCCAGTCCTGGGGGGATGCCGCCTGTCGCCCTCCTGTCTCCCCGCCGGCATCCTTACAGGAGAGTGAATCAAGTAGACTAATGGGCCTAATGGAGTCCGTCCAGATAAATGAGAGAGTGGCCTGACCCTTCATGCTGGGGAGCCTGCTCACATAATTAGGCATGGAAGAGTCCCTTCTGCTTCTACCAGGCTAACAAGCTGTGTTTGTCACATCGCAAACATCTCGGTCCCCGTGTTCTCCTGGTTTCACAGATCTCCCGGGTTCCGAGAGATGGCTCCTCCGCGAGTCGACCGTCTTCTCTCCTGGGGGGTCTTCTAGATGGACGCAGGGCGGG